CCGGGGACCGACAGCAGGGACCTCACAGGGGCCCTCAAGCCCCTTCCCTCCTGGCCCCTTGCTTTCCCTCCTGCTGCTTGGCTTCACGATGTGCCCTTCCCCCACTTGCAATTAGCTGGAGGTTTGCAGGGGACCCCCACATGCCAGGCTGGGGCTGGGGACCCCCATGATCTCTTGGCAGGTCCCATCACTCCTGGAGGACTTCAGCAGCTCCAGAACGACCTCATCTGCTTTGGGGATGCCACATTGGCTGCCCTGGCACTGCAGGATCAAAGTGGGGGTTCAGCTGTGGCAGGTGCCGCGCAGTCAGGCAGCCCCCAGCTGAGGTTTTTGGGGTGACTCGGCAGAGCTGGGCGGTGTGGGGAAGTGGCTGGGCTGGGGCCACATGGGGAAGGGGCTGGAACAAGCATGACAGGGGCAGCAGGGCTCGGCCTTGGCATGGCGGGGCACGGGGGTGCGGAGGGCAGGGCAGGGTTTGGCACCCTGTGGGCCTCGGACCCCCCCACTTGACAGCCACATCTGCACCCAGGCAGCTCTGCGGGAACTCGGCAGCACCTAAAATGTGCCCCTGCAGCCCCTGAGGCTTCCCGACCCTGAGCACAAAAGTCCCCCTGGCTGCTGCCAGCTGTGGCGTGCGCCAGGAGCAGCTCCGAGCGGCACATCGTGCGGCGCTGCTAATTCCTTCGAGCTGATTCAGCGCTGGTGAAGGATTGCAAAACCCCCTGAAATAAACTCAAAAAAAAAAAATAATCCCTCTCTCTATGCGATTCAGCGGGCCTGGTAACCAAGAGCCTGGCCAGAAGCCTCTGGCAGGATAGGGGGGCTCAGTGGGGAGCCACAACGGGAGGAGGCTGCCGGCTTCACCAAGGCAAGTCCTGCTGCCCCACTGCTGGCCCAGCCCTGCCCAGCGCAGGCAGCACCCTGCCAGCACCCTGTCGAGCCCAGAGGCCTCTGGAAGAACATCCCTGGCCACAGCCATGGCCCCGTGGAAACCAAAGCCTGGTCCCACGGGTCCCTCAGGTCCCCACAGCAGGAGCAGATCCCCAGGGGACATTCTGCCTCTGCACAGGGTGCTGGGCGCCCCCATCCTGACTTCCCTGGGACGAGGACTGGCGTGTGCCCGTCCCACAGCCCCCTGCTCTGCTGCAAAGGGTTGCCTGCCAGCAAGAGTTTGTGGGGAGGCAGAAACCCCACCGGCTTCCTGGCAAGTTGGGCAGGCCGGGGCCAGGGAGCACCGGTCAGCCACAGAGGCAGCGGTGGGCCGAGGCTGTGGCCCATCTGGGAGCGATTTCAGCCGCCACTCGCTGTCTTCCAGCCCGAGCAGCCCCGCACACAGCACAGGGCTATTTTTACACGGTGTAATTACCGGGCCAGGCATTAACCCCTTCGTGCAGCCATGCAGGAGCATCTCCCTCCACAGGGATGGGTCCCTCTGGGGTGGCACCTGATGGGGTGGCCTCTCCTCTCTCCTTGCGTCTGAGGTCAGCACCCAAGCGGGAGCAGCAGGAGAAGCCCCTTCCCCATTGATGGCACTGTGCCGCCAGCCCAGGCACCCGTGGGAGGAGAGGGCAAGGGCAGGGGTCTGCAGGGGGATGGCGATAGGGACAGGGATGGACTTATCCTGCTCAAGGCTCTGCACTGAGACCTGACCAGTGGGGTGGGTGTTATCAGAGACCCCCCGAAATGCCCAGCATGACCCAAAAGGGCTGCTGAGGCCCAGGAAAAAGCAGCGCACAGGGTGTCGGGGGCCAGGAGGGATGGGAGCAGCATTGGCCATCAGGGGTCCATTACAGCCAGTGAGGGGGAGCGGTGGCAGGGTGGGTGGCAGTGGGGACACGTGCCTCGGTGGGCCATGTGCCTCAGTGAGCCTGGCCCCAACGAACTGGCTCAGCCGCAGGCAGGGCTGGGACTGAGCATCCCTGGGGAGCTGCTCAGGCCCCTCCATGTCCTGCTCCAGAGCTGGAGGAGGCAAACAGTCCCCAATTCCTCCGCAACCATCCCACCATGCCAGCTCCCCACTGTGGGCAGGGCCCGGCTCCAGCACCCCCCAGCTCTGGCAGACTTTGCACTGTGAAGGGTGGTGGGAATCCAGCCATCCCCCTCTCAGCCCCCACCACCGTCCTGCCCTGTGGGGATCTGCACAGTGTTGGCACAAGTCATGGGGACACAGCTCCCTGGGACCTTTGCAGCCCCCATCACCTCGGCCCAACCGACCCAGCTGCAGCCCCGAGCCGGCTGTGCTGTGGGCAGGAGGCTGCCCGCTCCCTCGCTCGGCAAGTGGGCACCCCCAGCCTCCCTGGGGACATTTTTGGGACACTGAAAGATGCGGTGACACAAGGGAGCCGCTGTTCTTGCCGGCCCCGGCGTGGTGACAGCACCATCCCTGGGCAGTGCCGCGCCGGCCGCTGGGCGTGCGGCAGCGGGGTCTGGTCACTGACCCCGAGTCGGAGCCGGTAACCCAACCCCACCGGTGCTGGTTACAATTTAGGGCAACAATAACCTATTGAGGCCCCTTCCTGGCTCCTGCCCTGCTGCTCCTTGATCTAATTAAAGGGGGCCAACCCGAGTTGAAGGGAGCGGCGAGTACCCAAAGGCGAGGACCACGGCGCGGAGAGGGGCTGGGGCCACCCGCGACTCCCACCACCGGCTCCCTCAGGGGTCTGGGCGTCGGCGGAGGGGCGCAGCGCCTGAGTACAGCCCCAGCACAGCTGGTGTGCTTTGAAAATTAAGTTTACACAGTCACAAAGATCTTGCCTGCTCAGGATTTGGAATGAGGGACCCCCAAAATGCACTTGCTGATGTGGGGGTGAATGGGGTTGGTGCTCCTCCCCCCTTTGCCCTCTTTCCCTAGAAAGTGGACGCTGGGCAGGGGGCAGCCACCCCATGGGGTTCGGTGTGGCTGTGGGCGTCGGGGTGAGAGTGCTGGGGGTGTCCCCCCACCTTGGGGCACACCACAGCTCTGCTTTGGGGTGCCACAGGGTGCTTGGGACACATGGTGCCGGCTTGGTGAGCACGGGCCCCCACGGCAGGGTGCGGCGGGGACGCGGTGGGGACGCGGTCTCCCCTTCCTGCCGGCCCGGCGTCAGTAATGAATGGTATGAGTTTCCTGCCCGCCCACTGATTGCTTCCTCAAAGAGCCTCAATGAGCTGCTGCTGCTGTGCCCTGCTCCCCGCACGCGGCTCACGGCACGGTCGGCACCACGGCGCAGCCGGACAGGCCTCGATGCCCCACGCTGGGCACCCACGGCCACGCTGGAGAGCCACAATGGGCAACCCCCTCACGCACCGAGCCTGTAGCTCCTCTGGGGAGGACACCCCAAAACCCACCACGCCCTGCCTTGGTCACGGCTTCAGGGCTCCCGAGCATCGCACACCGCCACCCTCCAACCAGGACGGCTTCACTAGAGGGAGAGTACGGCCCCTGCTCGGCACCTCTGCCGGGAGCCAGCCCAAATAAATCCCCCTCCACCATTTGTCATCTCCGCAAGATTTACAGGCGGGGAGTGGTTGGGGCTGGAAGTGCAGAGGGCCCCAGTGCGGCTGCCTAAAAAAAGCACCTCCCGCTCCTTGGCGGCTCTGTGGCACGGGAGGGGGGTCCCCACTCACCCCCACCAACCCCAGCCCCTCTCCGTATCGCCCTGCCACGCAGCTGCAACCCGGCAGAGCCCCGGCGTGACGTGCAGGCAGCGCCCGCCAGCCACATTCCTGGCGGCCGATAAACCCAGCAGCCAAAATAACTGCAGCCTGCGCAAAGGGGGCTGAGCGCAGCCTGGCGTCTGCATCCAATTTAGTGGGGCTGGCTCAGCCCAGCCCAGCGCCGGCGGGGAGGCCCACGCGTGCGGGGTCTGAGAAGCAGCGGGATTTGGGGTAGTTCCCATTGGATTCTCTGCTGGCAGCAATAAACGATCCCAAAGCGTCCCCTTGGAGCATGCTGTGTGCCCTGGCCTCCCTCGAGAGTGCTCGCTATGGACATTAATGATGGCTGGTCACTGAGACTGGGCGTGGCAACCCCATGGCTGCCTTTGCCCGTTGTGCCAGTGCACAGGAGAGCTGCAAGCTGCTCGCCCCGGGAGCTCGCGGAAGGGTGAGGGATGCTCCGTCAGCCTCCCTGCCTGCTCCCACCAGGGGCTGCTCCCCCAGCCACCGTGTCAGCACCTCTCCACCGTGCCCACGGCCAATCCTCTCCCCTCCTGTCGGGAGATGCCGGCAGGGCGGCCAAGGGCCGGCCCTGCTGTCACGGCTCACTCAGCTCCTTGCCAGAGGCCCCGTATCTGCACTCGGCGGCTGCCGACCACCCAGCCTTCTCCGGCATCCCGGCCCGCCACCGAGCCAGCCCGGTGTGCGGCAAGGGACCCGCCATTCCTGCGCTTTGGCAGCAGCTCTGGGGAGATGCAGCAGCTTCCAGCGCATCCCAGCAAGGACCTTGCCCCAGACTCCCACTGCTCTGGTGGGATGAAGGCACTGCCTCCTCCTCCTCCTGTTTCCTCACCCACACCGTGACCCCAGGCCAGATCACTGGGCGGGACAGGAGAGGCCAGGCTGGGTCTAACCAGGGTGTTCCTCACCTCAGTGGTGCCCCACAGACAGGAGACGGCTCCATCATGCCTTGATGAGAGGTGCTGACCCCTCAGAGCTGTGAAAGCTCTTTCCCAAGGGATGTCTGGTGAGCGCAGCACGGCCGCTGGCCCGGCCACGGCTGTCTGGGCAGCCGCCACAGCCCCATGGCAAAAAGCACCACGGCCCCACCATGAGTAGGGCGTCAGGGCCAAACTGCTCTGGTGCACAGGTGGCAGCAAAGGGATTCAGTCGCTCACAGCATCTTCTTGTGCTGCCCCAGAGCACGCACCCACCCAGCTAGCAGTCACCTCAGACTCTGCCAGTGCTGTCCCCAGCAGTGCCACTACCCACCGCAGCAGCACGGAGCACCCATCCCACTCCAGCACTGCTGT